CATATATATGATATAATAGCAGAAGTTTAATAAGATGTACTATATTGTCATAGTCTAAAATTTTATACATGAAATTCTTATATAAAAATTAAATAGACAAAAAAAATCAGATAATTATAAATGAAAAGTCAGACAATTCAATAGAATATACAATACAAAAATTGGGTCTTATGAAAGATATTATGGCCAGGAACAATGGACAGTCACCTCTTAATGAATTAGGTGATCAACTGCAGCATTTTGAATAATTTAATTCAAATGCATTGGTTTCGAGGAATATGTAATAGCAAAGTATGATGACAAGACAAGTTTAATTATCAGATAAAAATAGTACTTATTTCATGAATTGAGTGAAAACATGAATAATGAATGATGTAATTAATGTTTGGCATTACAAGGGTCTTTAACACCTTCTCACATATCACCGAGATTACTTGTGTTACAGGGTATTAACTAGGGAAGAATATAGTTACTGCAATATGCTCTTCTTTTGTATTAAAATCGTACTTAAATGGTTGTGACTGCACAAAACACATAACATCGACAAAGGAAAGTATTCAATAATCCAAAAATTAATTTGAGATTTTTCAATTAAATTGTAATAAGATGTTTACTTACTCTGCTTTGCAGTTTGCGAACATTTTCTTGCTGTTTTCTATCTCTTTCTTGTATTTCTTTCAACTGAGCCTGTTCCCTTGAAAAGAATTCTTCCTCCCTAAAAATTAAACAAAAAGTAACTCCATCACCTAATTACCATAATCAAGACCATTACCAACATCTTTCTTCATCACTACATAACACTTGTTTTTTTAATTGCCCTCACAGCCAAGACCAACTAGGATCATAACAACCATCACCATATCACCATGTATCATTATACCATACTACCATATCCCCATACATGACTATCATCATAACACTATTTCAATGTTCTGACATTTACTTCCTCATAGTGACATTTGACCTTTGTAAATGACAATGTTCTTGTAATAAAATTTATGTGCTTGCATAGGTAACCCATTTTTATTTGTAGCCAGGCCCCCATTTCTGCATTATGCGATAAATTCAGACTCAGTAATTTGCCCCAAATACACACAGAATCTCCAGAACCAATCCCTTGAGCTATAACGTCACAATTACCATATTACATAATCACCATACCATAATCATCACATATCACCATCAAAATCACCATGTATGATAATCACCACATATCACAAACAAAATCACCATGGATCACAATCATCATGACAACCACACATCACAAACACAATTATCATGTTCCTGTCACAATCAAGATTATTAAACCAATCACCATCAAAATCACCATGCACTGCCACCATGGTCACCATATAACAATGACCATATCAAAATCACCATGTAATAATACCATAATAATCACCATGTACGACCACTTTACCATATCACCATTCACTATGTACCACCATCACACAAATTACCATTATAGTCACACCATGTAATGTAAGCGTAGTTGGATTTATACAGCGCTTTATACCGAAGTCCCACAGCACCCCAGGTGTGGACCAGCTCATAACAACATTTCACCATCACATTCATTTTTTTTGTCACTGTAATAATCACCACCACCTTCCTCTGCATTGTGCATGCGGAAATCAATAGACAATATAACCCTGACCTTTTCTGGAATTCTTTGATGAGTTTCTTTGCTTTGTGGTATTTTTTCTCGAGGCCAAAGTAATGAGCCTGGGTTTCCTCCAAATCTGCCTTAGAAGATTCAATCTCATTCTGAGAAGCTCCTAGTTGCTCTTCAAGTTGTTGGGATGTTCGCTCCAGCAGCTCCAACTGTGTTTTCAGCCTCTTCTCCTCTGACTCCCAGCCTTTAGATTGCAAGACCTTAACAATAAATTTAAAATTTATTTATTATTTACAATTTATTTTATGTTTTTGTTTATTTCCTTTTATATTTTATGAAATGTACAAAAATCTGGCTAAATAACATCAGTAAAATTCCTCTCTTGATTGTTCATGGTAAGCCTATGAATCCTATCTTCTTTTATTTGCTTTCAAAGTGTCTACTTGTAAAAGTGAGAAAGTAGTAGCTATTTCCCAGCAACCATCTTGGATTTGCCATCTCGGAGTAAAAAAAAAGAAGTGCCCTCATTCTCTTTCTTTTTTAAATATAAGGGCAAGAAACTCCTTTTTTTTTATTTGGCCTTAAGACTTTTAAACTGTTTTTAGAATTTAGTTCTAGTGGCCTTGGTAATATTCAAATTTGGGTATTTATAATTTTAATAATAACACTAACAACAAAATCACATTGTACCAATATTACTAATAACAATAAAAACTATAATAATAACAATAATACTGATGATGATGATGATATTGATTATAATGATGTTGATGTTGATGATGATAATGATTACAAAAAATTTCTAAATGTTTTTAAAATTTAGGAAATATTACATTTAAAAAAAATAATTTTAATAATAATACTAACAATAAAATCACATTTTACCACTATCACTAATAAAAATAAAAACTATAATATTAATCAATAACAACAATATTTATGATGATGACGATGATAATAATGATTATGATGATGTTGATAGTGATGATAATGTTGATGATGATAGATGCTGACTATAATGATGATGATAATAATTGTAATAAGGATAATATGTGGCAAAGACAAGCCAAACCAGTCACTCGTCGCAAATTGTGTTTCAGAGAAAACAGCAAAAACATGCTAGAATGTAAAATTTTTAAAAATCTATTTTATTTCAGTAAACTTAAGGTTTTTGTATCTATACATCATGCTGAGCTATTATTTTTCCCAATTTCAATGTTAAAACAACACTTTTTAATAATTTTATGATAGTTTCTGCATGAGAAATGCCTGAAATCATAAACTTTGAAGGCTGATTTCTCATATATTGTTCTTCAAACAGCTGTACGCTTAAATGCTTGTAACTTCAGAAGGAAATGTCGGATTTGAACGATTTTGTTACCATTTTATAGCTCCTATTTTACTCTTTAACCCTGTATTAATAACTCAAAATCGATTTTTGCGACGAGTGACTGGTTTGGCTTGTCTTTGCCACATATTCATCATATGTGGCAAAGACAAGCCAAACCAGTCACTCGTCGCAAATCGTGTTTCAGAGAAAAAATAGCCAAAACATGCTGGAATGTCAAATTTTTAAAAATCTATTACATTGCACTAAACTTTATATATCTATACATCATGCTATGCTATTTTCCCCATTTTCAATGTTGAAACAACACCTTTTAAGGATTTCATGATAGTTTCTGCATGAGAAATGCCCAAAATCATAAACTTTGCAGGCTGATTTCTCATATATTGTTCTTTAAACAGCTGTATGTTTAAACCCTCAAAATTGATTTTTGCAATGAGTGATAGGTTTGGCTTGTCTGTGCCACAAATTACCAATGACAATTATGCTAATTATGGTGATTAATGTAGAACAGCTAAATGTATTTTTGTAAACGTTAATCAGTCAATTATATTGTTTGGGTTTATTAGGACAAACAGACATTAATTGTCTTTAGGTAAAAGGAGAAACTCAACCTGGATTTTAAGTTTAGCAATCTCTGCTTCGTGAACGGCATTCTTATATTCCGTTTCTTTGAGCTTCAACTTCAATGCGATGAGCTCGGGCTCGGAGATGATAGGAGAGGTGATCTCACTGGAACTACTGTGCTCATTAAGCTCAAACGTTTCTTGTACTAGCTGGTCATCATCAGAAAAGACGTCTCCGAATGCACTACCATTCGGGGAGGTTGGGGGCGGTTTGTAGGTTGGCTATAAAAAAAAAAATGGAAATTCAATATTAGGATGACCACAAATCATATGATAATAATAATTATACGACTAATAATAATGTAAAAAATTATTTTAAATATGAAATTGACAGTGATAATTAGATATATCACATTTTCACAAAATAAAATATATAAACATGTGATAATAACAATACCGAAAGAAAAAACTCAATTACATATTTTGCATGACATATTTTATCGCACAAGGTTTTATCATGTATTTGAACAAGTTTTATATTTATTTAACTTTATATTCTATTAAGTACACATTCGTTTGTTTTTTGTCTCTTCATAACCGCAATTGAAAGGCGCAATATAAATACCAAATACCAGTACCAGTCTCTGCTGAGAGTAAATCCTGTTTGAGAGTTCAAATTTCAAAGATAGGAATTATGGGATACAAATACAAAAATACAGTACTTCAATGTATGCTTATGTCCAATCACTATACTGACCCAGAGTTTTAATCAGAAATTTTACAATAATTGAGTCTCCTCATAGGAATACCCATAAAAAAAACTATGTCAAGATATAGACACACGCTCCCACTGGGGAGCACATTTTTTACATGGTCACTGGATACGGAATCAGACATGCACAAAGTGTAACCGCCTCCAATCCCTGGAGTTATTCAAAGTTATGGATGTAATTCACTACTTAGATCATTCACCTCATACCAGACACCAATATTCATGGCTTGGAGAGAGGATAATATGGTATTTATTCGAAAACACCACACTTTAAATAAATGCCCCCCCCCCCCACAGCCTCATTTGGAATAAACATCTCCCTCGAATAAATGTTCTGTGCGTTTATTTTTCCCTCTCTATAAGCAAAACTAATGGAAGCAGGATCATTCTCAACACTTTCTATTAATATTATTATTATAATTAATATTCTCCAGTAGAGTCAAATGGCCGAGCGGTTATTGGCTGCAATGTACAGCCATAATATAGCATATAACTAGAAATTGCAAATTGCAAGTAAAGTGCTGCGAAG